GATTCATATTTGAAAAATAGTTTCGGTATACGAACGGCCTTTAGGAACAAATTAAATTCATCAACAGAAGTTCAACTGTATTTTAAGGTATTGTTTATACATTATATTTATAGATACAAATATTTAAGTTAATGCTCTGTTTATAATTTTAAACACTATTAACAATATTTACCGACCTAATATTGTAGGAGCTGCAGTAGTCGCTGCATAAGTCAGAAAAAAATTTATCAACAGGAGTTGGATAGTACCATTTTTACTACGGAAACATAATTGATTAATAAAATTTGATAGGAAAAAAAAAGAAGTCTGTTAATAAATTCAGATTTAAAATCAAGCTCCTTAACTGGTGGACAGTATTTCCACGAAACTTAAAGCAAGGACAGATTAGTTGAACATTTAATATTATTTATTACTATTAATGTTCTATACCGGGCCCTTTGATTTCAAAGAGATCTTGTTTAAAATACCTTATCTTCCAGAACTATCCTGGTTGAGCATTGATTTATTTTTTGTTGTCGAACGTAGGAAGAAAATCACTATTTATTTTACCCAATCACACACACGCATATATATATATATACCCACATATGAATCGTCTTAACCATCTGAGAGAATAAATCATTAAGACTAATTGTCGGGCTAATACATCAACCCATATGACAATCAACACTTCAGTATGCCCGTTGTGTGGATTTGTTTGCAAGTCCCGTGCACGATTGTTGTCTCATACGAAACATATCTATAAAACCGTCGAAAAAGACGGGAGAGTCCACCATCAAAATTCGCTTGAGGATGAAATGGAATTAATGTCTTTAATTTATTTACAAAATTAAATTCGAAGCTTTTAGCTTCCATTTTTGAAACATGGTTAGAACTGCGTAGCGAAAAAAAACATATTTTAAATCAATTAATATATAATATTAATGCTCTGTAAATTTCCATTGGGCACTGTTTTGTAAGAATAAAAATATCTATAAGAACACCGGATTAAATATCTTACTGTTCTTTCTTTTTTTATATATATATATATATATATATATATATATATAATTATATACATTACTTATACAACATTATTACAGACGTTATTTACAAAAATTTGAATAGACTGCCTGATTTTATATGAACAGTCTAAGTTATGTCGAATTGATCGCGTATTCGAAACACTTAATAAAGAAAATATGTTCTCTGGTAGGGTTCGAACCCAGATCGCTCTTGGTCGGAGAGACCACACTATGCTGAGCAGACGTTAGTTTCAGTTTCTGGAAGAGAGCGGGTTATCTCACGTGATCAACAATTGACGTGGCCAGGCACGCTCAAGCCCTCGGGCTACGATGACTTGTGACTTTGTGCTAGCACAGCTATCGACGGCCCGCAAGGGTTCCGTCTACGCAATTTAACACAGAAGGCTTGGGTCAACCTGTGGTATGGTTTTCAGGCACTTTCCAAAGGTGCCGCACGATGGGATCGACCTCAATCCAGTCCGATACCAGAAAGCGAACGTTCTAACCACTCGGCCACGCACACCTGCTCACTGTTCTATCGTCATTTATATTGAAAGTGCTCGGATGAACTACATTCTTCGAATTTGAACCTTCACGTCTAGCAACCGCCATCCACTTACATTTTCGCAAACCACTCACATTCGTATTCCATCGATGAGAAGTCAGTTCTACTCGAACAACTTCCTCCCGTGAACCATTGATCTGTGGAACTGACTCCCAAGTGGATGCTTCCTTCATCACTCCAATCTTAACCTGTTCAAGTCTAGGGTTAACCGTTACCTTTACCTCCTATCAGCATAAACTGTAATTATTACTCTGTAACGCTCTACCTCGAGTGGCTCCCGGCCTTTATATATATATATATATATATATATATATATATAATGTGTGTGCATTTTTTGTGTGTGTCTGATCAGATGTTGTTTATGCATTTCCACAGTTTTCATCCGATTTCGATAAAATTGTTTTGGTTTGATAGATAATTCTTAACTGTCGGTTCTTAGTTCAAATTGTTGGCGACAATGGCTCTCCACTACTTCCTGTCTATTATAATTCTCAGCAACGTTTTACTATCTGTTCTTGAATATATATCTTTCATAAAATTTGTAATAAATCTAAATAATTTAAATTATTACAATAATATTATTTATTATTATACAGTTCCCTTTCCAGCCCCCCCCATTCTAATTGTTAAACCCCACCCCACCATTGGGTAATGTTCCTCAGTTGCACCCAAATGTAGTTACTAATATTGATTTTCGGGTGGGCTGACTTTAAACTTAAACTGCTCCAACTGAACAACAAAAATTCCCTGTAATAAAAGACCCGGTCAAAGACAGGTTATACTGCTATATATATATATATATATATATATATATATATATATATATATATATATATATATATATATGATTATAAAAGTAGATATACAGTAACTTCGATGGGTCTCACCTTTATGGACTTCTTATTTTGGGGATGTGTAAGGAATATATATTTTATTTTCGTTAGTGTTTATCTGCATTTGCAACCCTGCATACATATACATATACAAATACTTCCCTGTACCTATTAAAAACTAGAAACAAGATAACTTGATTGTTTTTGTTTAGTCGCATATCAACCGCCATTGATTATTTAATGCAGAGATCTATATATCTGAAACGCAATTTTATGCCTTCAACTACAGATATTTTGTACTTATATACTATGTAGTTAAAATGTATTGTTGGCAATCTTTCTAAACATATTGCTGTTAAATTCAGTACAAAATTATATTGCTGGTAATTTTATTATAAAAAATGTATTGTTGATTTGTGTTTCGGGTCACTATTTACCCATAGATGGGACCCTAACAATTGCTTTCACACCAGGCCAGGGAGGACCTCGGTAGTACAACAGTTAATAGGTGGTTTCAGAGGCCTTACTGCCGGATGTAGATTATCGCGATGTCCAGGGCGAAAAAGATAAAAATTCAACAAATAACAAGACATGTGTTTATATATTTTCTGACTGGACTATATTTGTTTCCTTTCTGTTATGGTAATTTACCCACGTACATATGGACTCTCCCAGCTATACATAGGAGCAGGTACTGCCTTTTAGAGAGGAAAGTTTCCAGTAGTAGGCTCTGAGAGTCAGACTGAATATTTTTGCTGTAACACTCTCGTTTGTATATGTTTGTATTGTTGTTTCTATTAACAAATTTGTTTAAATCAATTCCTCTCTTTGTGTCTTTATTTCTGGCCCTAAATTGTCCACAGCAGACAGAAATAAAGATAGTGTTATGGTAATTTACCCACGCACGCATAGACTCTCCCAGCTATAAATAGGAGCAGGTACTGCCTTTTGGAGATGGAAGTTTCCAGCAGTCAGCTCTGACAGCCAGTTTGTTTAACTCAATTACTCACCTGTGTCTATATTTCTGGCCCTAACAAAGCCACAACAGAAAGAAAGAAAGAAATGAAGAGTTATGGCAATTTACCCACGCACGCATGGTCTTTCCCAGCTATAAATAGGAGCAGATACTGCCTTTTGGAGATGGAAGTTTCCAGCAGTCAGCTCTGACAGTCGGACCGAACATTCTTGCTGTAACACTCTCGTTTCTATATGTTTGTATTACTGTTTCTGTTAATATATTTGTTTAACTCAATTCCACTCTTTGTGTCTATATTTCTGGTCCTACCAAGGCCACAATACTTTCAGACATTGTCGGTGTTCGAAAGTACTTACCGGCCACCTCTACGATCTTCAGAAAATAAAATGCAATGTTAAATCCTTATCTTTTGTTTTTTTTTTGAAAGATTCCTTATTTTATTTCTCTCTTTGTACCCCCTTTTTGTCTTAGTGGCTTTTATCGCGTATATATAACTGAAACATGTAGATTAAAGAATGTACTCTAGACAAGCATGGTCTGTAACGCGAGGGGCGCTTTGGGATCGCATTGATCTTTTGAGATTGCAAAGTCTACCTTCAATAAGAGTCTCGCACCATGCACAACGAGACACACCCAATATGAAACACACACATCAACTCACAAACATGCACGTACATGTACATTTAGGGATGGTGCGTAGTAACCCCTACCCATTTATCGAGTGGGAAAGAGAGGCGCTTTGTTGCTCTATCATAGCAACATTTTGCTTTTTTCTACCTATATTTATATACGTTACAAAATTTGTACGGGAGCTGCCCAGTCTTTACTTTCTGTTGTAGAGTAGTTTTCACAGTGGAGGCTTGTATTTCGCTAAGTCGACTCTAAAATGGTCCGACGTACAAAACGTTAGGAACTTGAAATAAGAGTTAATGACGCAGCAATCTAGTTGTGATGGTTGATACTTCAATGTCCGATATCGACTGACTCACTCAACACCACTGAGCCCAACTGGCCACTGCTTCTACTACTTATCTGTGGGAGAGTCTGTTACAATAGAATAGGTAATGTTCTGGTATAACACTTTCCTAGTGTTCAAAAGCGTCTCCGAGTCCTTGTGGGTGACAAATTATTTTCCAAACTGCAAACTCTCTCGCTCTCTCTCTCTCTCACACACACACACACACACACACAGGCGGGATGTGACAAGTCTCTCACTGTTCTACCCCTACTACCATGAAAAGTTCTCGGTCGAACTACGTTCCTTGGTTCCGCCAGGTCTAAGCTTCACGGTTAGGACACGCCTTGCCAAATATATTGTAGTAAACCACCCACATTCCCTTCTATTGGTGAGAAGTCAGTTCCACTTGAACAGCTTCTTTCTTCGAGACACTTATCTGTGGAAGCGACTTCCAAAAGGAGATTTCCTCGATCACTATAATCTTAACCTGTCCAGGTCTAAAGTTAACCGTAATCTTTACCTCCCTATCGGTATAAACTACACATTAACTTAACCCTCTATCACGGGTGCCCCAGGGTCTTGTTGAAGGTGAACCTTAATGTAAAAAAAAAATAAATAAATAAAGTACCACTGACTATTAAAGAATGAAAAAAAGAATGAAAACGATATAAAGGAAGAAATAGAAAAGAAAGAAAGAAATAGAAACGAATGAAAGAAAGAAAGAAAGAGAAAAGAAGGAGAAAAGAAAATAAGAAAGAAAAATATAGAAAAGAATGAAAGAAAGAAATAGAAAAGAATGGAAGAAAGAAAGAAGGAGAAAAGGAAGAACGAAAGAAATAGAAAAGAATGATAGAAAGAAAGAAAGAAAAAAAAAAGAAAGAGAAAAGAATGGAAGAAAGAAAGAGAAAAGAATGAAAGAAAGAAAGAGAAAAGAATGAAAGAAAGAAAGAGAAAAGAATGAAAGAAAGAAAGAGAAAAGAATGAAAGAAAGAAAGAGAAAAGAATGAAAGAAAGAAAGAGAAAAGAATGAAAGAAAGAAAGAGAAAAGAATGAAAGAAAGAAAAATGAACGAAAGAAAGAAATAGAAAAGAATGAAAGAAAGAAAGAAATAGAAAAAAGAAATGAAAAGAAGAAAAGAAAAGAATGAAAAGAAAGAAAAAAAAAAAAAAAAAAAAAGAAAAAAGAAAAGAAAAATGAAAGAAAAGAAAGAAAAAGAAAGAATGAAAAGAAAGAAAAGAATGAAAGAAAGAAAGAGAAAAGAATGAAAGAAAGAAAAATGAACGAAAGAAAGAAAGAAAAATGAACGAAAGAAAGAAATAGAAAAGAATGAAAGAAAGAAAGAAATAGAAAAGAAAGAAATAGAAAATAAAGAAATAGAAAAGAATGAAAGAAAGAAATAGAAAAGAATGAGAGAAAGAAAAGGAAAGAAAGAAAGAAAAAACAAAGAAAGAGGAAAGAGAAAGAAAGAGGAAAGAGAGAAAGAAAGAGGAAAGAGAGAAAGAAAGATGAAAGAAAAAGAGAAACAAGAAATAGAAAAGAAAGAAGGAAATAAAGAGAAAAGAAAGAAAGAAAGAAAAAAGAAAGAAAGAAGGAAAGAAATAAAGAGAAAAGAAAGAAAAAAAGAATTAAAGAAAGAAAAAAGGAAGAAAAAAGAAAGAAATACAGAAAGACGGGATCAAAAAAAAAAAAAATTGAGAGCAGCCGACAGAAAGAAATAGAGTAGAAATAATATATTTTTGGGTGTCCGACATAGGCTACTTATTCTTTGGATTTCATATTTGTAGGAAGTTCAGAAACAATATAAAAAATAAAACGAGCATATAAAAAAACCAAAAAAAAAACCAAAAAAAAAACCACGAGACTTATGGAAAAGTTTTCCCCATACCCGCCATATTATTTTAATGATTATTCTGAATGTAGTTACCCCGCTGCAAAAAGCAAGATCACCAGGAACAATTGTACACCCGTAATGTTTTATCGAGACCGACATTGGCTACCTATTTAATCTAATACAATATCTAAGGGAACGTGTAAAATTTAAATCTTCATCAAAATGGCGACTGCTAATAAGCAACGGTGACGGGGCACATCGGCGAGGGGTAATGGTTAACGAGCTAGCCTAGTTGATATTTGCCGCATTTTGCTGCTGATGAGACGTTTTCCTCCTACAAAATATCACCAAAAACCATGCTGAATCGCATAAATCGAAGATCGGTGACGGAAGTTAAGTTCGCTTTTAATTATTAGATTCCAAATCAGTCAGTCAGTTATATGCCATGCGTGATATGCGCGTAGGCGATCATGTATCTTTCATGACTGACGAGGCAGATTTTTTTTTCCCGCAGCAGGTTGCCATTTCTTTCTGCGGTAGGTCATCCTGCTGCTTACCCATTGCTGGAAAGAGAAGAAGAAAAGGATTCATAACTTTTCCCAAGGGTGTATTCACGTAAGTAAATATATTGGATTCGACAGGAATTCGAACTCGGCTCTCCGATTCCTCAATCCGAGCCGCTATCCATTACTCCACCGTGCCTCCAATAGTTACCAAAAACGTGGTACTTCTTTTCGGTCTCTGATGAATTTTTCCTGATTAGTCAGGTTTTCATGCGGAAATATGCTATTCGTGGTGGGTGTCAAACTGGGGAGGGCCATGAAGTACAAGGAAAATGATTTTATTCCGATTTCTTTCTTAAAAAATATTTGGTGGGTGTCGTCTGAAGCATCGAAGTTTCATATAAACAGCAAAATAGGGTACTACTAACTACTGTTTCATCTTCGCCAAGTCCTACGAGATAGTGGCCTTGTGCCAGACTAATTTAAACTAACTTATGCACTATATTAAACAAACTTATTCGATAATAACATAAAAAACACTTAAGATGATAACGATTTTTAGTCAATGAAATTTGGCAATTAAATATTCACACACAAAACACAAACATACACATATATATAAGCATGAATATATATGTGTGTGTGTATATATATATATATATATATATATATATATATATTATATATAATTTATTTATATAAAATGCATATCTGTATATATATGCAGGGTTGCAAATGTTGATAAACACTAACGAAAAACAAAATATATATTCCTTACATCCCCAAAATAAGAAGTCCATAAAGGTGAGATCCATCAGACTTACTATATATATATATATATATATATATATATATATATATATATATATATATTATATACTAACGTATAACCCGTCTTTGACCGGGTCTTTCATTACTGGAAATTTTTGCTGTTCAGTTGGAGCAGTTTAAGTTTTAAGTCAGCCCACCCGAAAATCAATATTACTAACTACATTTGGGTGCAACTGAGAAAAATTACCCAATGGTAAGGGTGTTGCTGAGAATTATAATAGACAGGAAGTAGTGGAGAGCCATTGTCGCCAACATTTTGAACTGAAAACCGGCAGTTAAGAATAATCTATCAAACCAAAACAATTTTATCGAAATAGGGTGAAAACTGTAGAAATGCATAAACAACATCCGATCACACACACACGTAAATGCACACACATTATATATATATATATATATATATATATATATATATATATATATATATAAGTATATATGCATAAATATATCTAAAACATAAACACTGTCGTTGAATATGATAGACAAGGAAGACTTTTATTTAGTTTTTCTTATATTATCTATATCGTACATACGATCACCTTGAGTAGACACCTCACATGCCACTTCACTGTTCAAAATGCTATAAAAATAACATCAGGCTACCGAAATTTATAAGATCCCGTAAGAAAAATTTTGGTTCTATATTAATCACATTACTGAAAACATCTCGCAGTGAGAGAGGTTCTGTATATAAAACATCTCGCTCCCCTATCAACCTCACCTTATTTAACAGTGGGAATCCTGTGTTGGTGTGTTTTTTTTTTCACCAGACAGACGCTCACTCAAATTCCAGCCGTGCCCAACATGCGAAGCTTGGAATAAACACACTTATTAGTATTCAAAACCGCAGAAAAATATATCTTAAACAGTCAAACATGAAGAGAATTTAACAACACCTCAAAAAAAAAACCCAAAAAAACCTTGAAAATTACTAAATAAATGGTCGAAAGCGCTTGGAAGAATGAACAATGGGGACAATTTCTGCACTGCCTTCCTCCCACGGAACGGAAAAAAATGTGAGGCTGATGGAAAAAATAAATAAAAAAAATGATTAAATCTTCTTTGTGTGGCATATTCAACGTGTTTAAAAGAAATGTTTCTGTCCATGTTTCGGAGTTAAACTAATATCTAAAAATATGGCCGAAACAAAATCGGCACACAGATTTCAACATACGGCTAAAGCTAATTCGAATTTCACACATACCAACGCTTTTGTTAAACTGAACTCTATCGATGTCTTTTTACTCGTTTTGGGATTTTTTTCTTTGGACTTGGAGCTTAAACACTAGAAAATTGTTTTCGCCTTGGTTTAATGTTCTTGGTTCTTTCTTTTTTTATTCCCCATTTTATCTCGGGTACCGATTTGTTCTACTGCAATTTGAGCTATCCAAGTTTTTTTCCAAACGAGTACCACCATTTGCTTAATTTTCAGTTAGTGATATTAGATACTTTTTAATGTTTACTCATATCGGAATTAAACTAATGTCTAAAAATATGGCCGAAACAAAATGTGTTCAACATACGGCTAAGATAATTCGAATTTCACACATACCAACGCTTTCGTTAAACTGAACTTTATTCATGTACCAGGTCAAGTGTTGACTGTCTGTATGATTTTTTTTAATCCATGTTCCTTTAGGGCACAGAAGATAATGGCCTTTTCTTCTCTTAAAATGTCCCCCAGAATATAGGTATAACGATGCTCCCTTAATTTTTCTTTATTGTCAATGAATTACAATGCGTTTTGGGGAAGTTGTGGAGTAGTTTTCCGTTGCATTCTTCACAACGTGGAATATAAATTCTTTTTCTCTTGGAAGGTTTGCCACCCAAATCGAGTGAGAGTCTCGCCAAATTGTTATTTAAAAAAAAAAAATCACCTTACTTTTAACTGTAACGTTCCTTCAAGTTTTCAACAATTAGAAGTCTTCATAGATTCCTTTTATTTTATTATCTTTGAATTGCCACGTATTCTTTGGATAGATAGTGGAGTGATTTTATTTTGTCTGCATAATTTTCATTCTCTTAGATAGGTTTCCACCCAAAACAAGAGATTCCAATCTACCCTGCTAATTAACAAACAGCTTGTCGGAGAATAGATGTACCCTGCCATTCCCAAGGGATTTTGCGAGAAAGTGAACTCGACCGGGATTTGAACTCGCTCCAGGTCGGTATCCATTATACTGCCTAAAAATCGGAGGATCATTTTGACTTCGTAGTTGGATTTACTAAGTGTAACATGGTTGTGGCACAAGGCCGAAAGTATGGAGCACAGAGTGAGTGCTAACCATTACTTCACACTGAAGTGCTCAAATATTGCGATTAAGTTATGGTCGTTTACAGCTGGAGCAAGGCCGTTATAAATGGAGTGCCTAGTGAAGATCGAACTCACGACTCAATCGTAATTGATGAGGCGAGAGAAATGTACTAACCATTACGCCAAGTTGAAGTGAATTTGGCATCACAGAGATGTACTTGGGGAGGGGATGGGTGCTTTCACGTAAACTGCAGTGCACCGAGAAATATAAAGAGAGATTTCGGATGCTAAACCGATTTCTTTTTATAGGTAGTTCATAACTAACGGATAACTTCACACACACACACACACACACACACACACACACAGAAAGAGAGAGAGACAGAGACACACAGAGAGAAAGAGAGAGAGAGAGAGAGTTGTGTGTGTGTTCTTTTTCGTGGTTTGAAGATACTATCAGGCAGGCAACTAACATTTATATATCCACAATGTGTATGTCTGCAAAGCCATTTTAACAACAATGGACAGTCTTTCCCCGTAAATATAGCTAATATTAAAATACACCCACAGACAGAAACACACACATGTATGCACACACATATCTACACACACTCTCTCACATGTGTATATATATATATATATATATATATATATATATATATATATATATATATATATATATATACATATATATATATATACATACATATATATATATATATATATATATATATATATATGTACATATATGGGGGTGAAACAAAAAAGTATACGTACTCATAACACATATGTTATGGTGAAAGTGCGATTCATTTTTTGACTTACACTCGTATAAATTTCTAACACTCTCTCACTATATATATATATATATATATATATATATATATATATATATGTGTGTGTGTGTGTGTGTGTGTATGAATATAAACCAAATAATTGAATATTAGCAAAAGTATATACGTGCGTAAGCGAGCATACACAGGTAAGCGAATAAATATTTATGAGTCGGTAGAACCACAAAACTTTAAATTGCACTTAGAATGTATGTATGTATGTATGTATGTATGTATGTACCTATCTATCTTTTATCTTCTCTATCTATCTATCTATCTATCTCTTTCTCTCTCTCTCTCTCTATATATATATATATATGTGTGTGTGTGTGTTAAGAAACTCAATCGTGGCAAATAACAAGCCAAACACTACCAGATTCCGTCAGTAATATAACAAATGCGAAGACCCCACCCTGTCAAAACATCATTTTCAATTTCTCGTCTCAGTGACAAAGGACACAGGCGTGTCCGAAAGTTCCGACTTTTTAAATCTTTCCTATCTTGCTTCCATTTGGTCACAAGGCCGATTAATATGCAATTAATATCATTAGTCCTATTAACAATATTATTAATACCTTTGTTGTTTTTTCATCTCTGAAACTTCATTTCTCGGCGTAATACGTCTACACACACACTCACATATATATATATATATATATATATATATATATATATATATATATATATAAAGACAAAAGGATAACTTATCTTTATTAAGAATAAAGACAACAGGAAAACGTATATTTATCGATATTGTCGTTTTTTACAGTTATATTTTATTCATATACAAATTTTCCCTATATATATATATATATATATATATATATATATATATATATATATATATACATATATACGCCTGTGATTGTGTACGTGTGTGAGTTTGTGCGCATGCGTGCCTCTAGGCCAGGGTTATCTATGTGCAAATATAAAAATACATATATAAAACTTAAAATATATCCTCGTAGATATGTCTTAAAATTTATTATAACACAAGCAGACGCTGATATTATTAGAAATATACGAGAACATCTATCTATCTGTGTGTATATCTATCTATCTATGTTCATATCTGTTTATCTATCTATCTACGTGCCAGTGCGTATGTCAGTGTGTACGCGAGAAGCATATGTTTGTCTGCATTTCAGGTGTGTGTGGGTGTGCAACAAAATGCCACAACAGTATCAATACGAAGTATTTACGTATTTAAGTATTTATGTCATAGTTTCGCTGATTGTTATATATATATATATATATATATATATACACACAGAGACATATATATATATATATGTAAATAATTTCTTATTTTTATAATAACGAATAAAATTGTACAGAAAATCTAAAACTTGAATATTTACATCTATCTATCTATGTACATGTTTATCTATTGATCTATCTGTGTACATTTCTGTCTCTATCTATCTATCTATCTATCTGTGTAAATTTCTATTTATCTATCTATCTGTGTAAATTTCTATCTATCTATCTATCTGTGTAAATTTCTATCTATCTGTGTAAATTTCTATCTATCTATCTGTGTAAATTTCTATCTATCTATCTGTGTAAATTTCTATCTATCTATCTATGTAAATTTCTATCTATCTATCTATCTGTGTAAATTTCTATCTATCTATCTGTGTAAATTTCTATCTATCTATCTGTGTAAATTTCTATCTATCTATCTATCTGTCTGTGTAAATTTCTATCTATCTATCTATCTATCTGTGTAAATTTCTATCTATCTATCTGTGTACATTTCTATCTATCTATCTGTCTATCTATCTGTGTACATTTCTATCTATCTATCTATCTGTGTACATTTCTATCTATCTATCTATCTGTGTACATTTCTATCTGTCTATCTATCTGTGTACATTTCTATCTATCTATCTGTCTATCTATCTGTGTACATTTCTATCTATCTATCTGTCTATCTATCTGTGTACATTTCTATCTATCTATCTATCTATCTATCTGTATACATTTCTATATCTATCTATCTGTGTACATTTCTATCTATCTATCTATCTATCTGTGTACATTTCTATCTATCTATCTGTCTATCTATCTGTGTACATTTCTATCTATCTATGTGACTGACGGTTGACAATGTATTTTTTCGGCATGTGCTTTGTCATTAACAAGTAAAACACAGCCTCACCCTGCTAAACCCCAGTCCACAGCGCAAATCTTCTGTTTTATGATACAATTAGAATATTATAAGAAGAATTGCAGCTGCAATTTTTAGCCAGAGAAACCATAGCTCATTCAGGGTAAGTCCATACTCTATTTGAAAGAGGAAGATAAGGAAGCCTCTTCAAGTATAAATAAAGCACTCTCTCTCTCTCTCTACACACACACATATATATATATATATATATACATATATGTGTGTGGGTGTGTGTGTGGAGAAAGAGAGATGTCTAGTTCGTGTATCAATATATGCATTTGAGGTTCTTGAATATTTGTTGCATTTATATACTCGTTTTAAAATTATTAGTAACTATACAATATCATCTTTTTTCTTTATTTTTTCTCTCTTTCTTATTTTCTCTCTCTCTCTCTCTCTACTATCTCCCTTTCTATATATAAATATATGTGTATGTATATATACATATACATACACACATATATATATATATATATACACAAAACACACACACATATATATATATGTAATTGAATGCAGTTTAAGTTAATGAAAATTTAACTGCGTACGTATGCATACACACGCTCACACACGTGTATATATATATATATATATATATATATATATATATATATATATATATGTGTGTGTGTGTGTGTGTGTGTGTGAAGTATTTCGATATAATTTTCGTATATGTCCATACAAACAAGGCTGAGCGTGAAGCAACGGGTTACTAGCAGGCAAAATATAATCGGCGTCACAAGTTCGAATCTCTGCTGCGTCTGTTCGCGTTCACTTTCTCTTTACCCCCTCTGCCTAACCTCTGAACCGTCTTCACTGTGTCCCAGGCCAAAATCACCCCACTTCCCACTGGCATTTAACAATAGGCGATGGGTATTTTTGTTTATATTAAATTTCCTTTTGATTCTTTCACACACACATATATATATATATATATATATATATATATATATATATATATATATATATATATATGCGTCCTGGGTATGACGATAAACTACATCCATGTCAAAGGAAAGACCATAAACTACGTCAAGGCCTGTGATCAGGAGGTTTTGAGGAGTGTCTAACCACCTCTTAATTGCCGGTTTCCCAGGTCCAACCTGACCCGGGGTGGTAGCAGCTGTTAGGGTCCTAAATAAGGGCAAATATTTAACCCCCAAACGAGTCAAAACACAGTGAAAGTAAAAAAAAACTCGTTTTAATACAAGCAATACATTCTCGAAAAAAATGTTACCAATAAAAATCTTGTCAAGATTAAATAACCCATTGATGTGTTGATATGCCGTAAACCAAGGCAAACCAGCAATAAAAATCTTGTCAGCATTAAATAACCCATTTATGGTGATATGCCATAAAACAATACCAACCATATATATATATATATATATATATATATAAGCTTTCCATATGTTTTCGCGGAACTTGAAAATCTACTTTCAATATTGCGTTTCTTAGTCTGGTGTGTATGCTTGGATGTAACTTGAACTCTCATCCTTTTTCTTGTAACGATTGGAGGAAACTATAAATGTTGAAGATTAGGCAAACCGGGCCGTGTGTGTGCGGGCGCGCACACACAAAACTCCCCTGAACCAAAATATGTCATCTTAGAATCTTTGGACTTCTCTTTCTCCAATGGGGACCTTCAAAATATTAGCCTTCGTGAATGTATAATACTTTATAACACTGTAGCGAAGTACAATTTATAGGTATCACTTTGACTTTTGACACACTGAGGATGATTTTGAGGATGATGGTTGCTCAGTAATCTGTGCTTGTACTAAACATACTGAAGCTGAATAAATAATTCACTTACACCACTAATATATATATATATATATATATATATATATATATATATATATATATATATATATATTATATGTAAGTGAATATATATATATATAGAGAGAGAGAGAGAGACTTGTCGTACAGTAACGCTGGCGAAATATCACCGGGGTTTCTCCTACAAAACGGGGGGTGGGGATATTTGTCCGATTCCTGTCGGCGACTTTTTCGTTGTCCGTATTAACATTTTTTTTTTCGAATACGCAGGCCGATAGATGGAATACCTACTGTTTGAAGCAAATGATAAAAATGGGGCTTCTTTTTAAAATACGAGTATCCACTAAAATAAAGTTCATAATACAATTTTACTACTTCAAACTTTACTTTAAGTGATTTTAGTAGTGATATATATATATATATATATATATATATATATATAGTGAAAGAAAGAAGAAAGAAAAGATATATATATATACATATAAATATATATATATATAGAGAGAGAGAAAGATATAAATATATATATATATATATATATAGAGAGAGAAATATATATATATATATGCATACAAATATATATATATATATATATATATATAGAGAGAGAGAGAGAGATATATATATATCTATATATATATATATAAAATATATATATATATATATATATATATAGAGAGAGAGAGAGAGAAGAAAGATATATATATCTATATGCATACAAATATATATATATATATATATAGAGAGAGAGAGAGAGAGAGAAATATATATATATATATATATATATATATATATAGAGAGAGAGAGAGAGAAAAGATATATAGTGAGAGAGAGAGAAAAAGAGAAAGAAAGATATATTTATATGCGCGTGTGTGTGGACATATTGAGACAAAAATGAAACGTATTTCCACATTGTTTTGTATACTATTATGAATCCTAATAATACATACACACACACAAGCACACACACACGCGCAAGCACACACACACGCGCAAGCACACACACACCCACTCACACATGCACACACATGTACATTAAGTATTTTGTTTCAATTTTCTTGTGTTAGAATTTTCTTCTTTTATAGAAATTGTCCGAATGTTGTGTATGTCCAAGCGCTTTCGACTATACTTTTAGCCATTATCAAGGATTATTTTATTTCTACTTTTAACTGAATACATGGATTGTTTTATCTGTGTATCTAGAGTTATAAGAATATTTTATTTTTCAAACACGTTCAGCACATTGTGACCGTGTTCATAGTGGATGACACTGTGTGTTGTTTTTTTTCTTTATTATTTAAAATACTGCCATTAATTTTTAGCCTTCTTTTTACATGTAGATAAGGCTATTATATTTGCATTTTCAACGGGTATGTTGCAGATGATGTTCGGAAGATTTCCATGTGTACTGAAATGAGACCTAATTAAGTTATGGCCAGAGAGATGTAAAATGAATCTTATTATAAGTTCTCTCTCTCTCTCTCTCTCATATATATATGATTATATAGGCAAAACATCTGAATAATGTTTCTAGAAATGGATGATTCCGAGAACTTTTAACACAACTTCGTGTGTGTGTATCTATCTATCTATATATATATATATATATATATATATATATATATATATACACACACATCCATACATTATATATATATATATATATATATATATATATCTCTCTCTCTCTCTCTGTCTGTGTATGTGTGTGTAATTCAGTATTGTATAACGTCGAATCCGGAGTTCACAGTCAGACAGGGCTAGCTCAGGGTCCCACATAGGGCGGCCCTGCCTGACTACTTAGAAAATCAGCATTCGAAGTAATGTATTTTATCCGAGATTGAACACTGACCACTGCTCGAGACGAACTGGCATGCCTGTTTTTCAATCAGTCAAATTCTTTGTGTTTGTATGACTGGCGTTGCACAATCTTTCCCAACAATATTCCACAGTTTGCCCTTGAGCCAAACTTAGCTAATCTTGCAAATATCGTCTAAACCCACACACATTCGCACAGACACACATGTACATGCATACATACACGCATACGTATATACATGCGTATAAGAATTAGACTCTGTAGAATGCAAAAGCTCTCCAGGCATTGTGTAGCCTCGATGAGGAAATATGTAGTAAAAACACTATTCAATAACACAAATTATTGAATTTGTTTCCCATGTAATAAATAGATTTTGCCATTGAATAATGGAAAAAATAGATGTTAAGTACAATTTTACGACTAAACAAGAATAAAATGATACGAAATAAAAGAGGAGAGAGGTGGTATTGAACCTGCGACCGTTGGATATTAAGCTCATTATCCTGCCCCTGTAGTCCGTTAAAGGTTGCCATGAAATGGAGTTTATGCCTGACTGAGGATAGGTCTATATTTACGATTTACAGCAAGCATACATTTTTTGTGTCTTTCATTGAAGTCCATTCGTATTTATCAATGTTGCTATGTAATGTACGCACTATCTATCCTTTCCATGTCTATATATCTGTCTGTCTATCTATCTAGTCTATTCATAACTATCTAACTAGCCTGATCATCATATTTACACACACACATACAAATATATATATATATATGTATATATATATATATATATATATATATATATATATATATATATATATATATATATATATATATATATTCATATTTATCTCTCTGGCTGTCTAGCAGTTTGTCTAACTGCAAGTTCCTGTCTGTTCATTTCAGTTCTCTCTTTCTTAGTCTGTATTTATATATCTGAGTTAGTCATTTCTCTCTCTCTCTCTCTCTCTCTCTCTCTATACGTGCGTACACATACGCACACGCTCACACACACATATATATCCCTGTTCGTACGTAACTATCTATTTATCAGTTTATTTACCTATCTCTGCCTGTTCATTTTCCTTTCATAAGTTTTATCTATCTATCTATCTATCTAAGTTTCTTCCTTATCTATCTATATCTATCTATCTATCTAAGTCTCTTTGTATCTATCGAACTATCAGTCCATTCATTTTTTCTTTCTTTTTTTTCTATCTATCTATCTATCTATCTCTATCTATCTAAGTCTCTTTGTATCTATCGAACTATCAGTCCATTCGTTTTTTCTTTCTTTTTTTTTTCTATCTATCTAAGTCTCTTTGTATCTATCGAACTATCAGTCCATTCATTTTTTCTTTCTTTTTTTTCTATCTATCTATCTATCTCTATATATCTAAGTCTCTTTGTATCTATCGAACTATCAGTCCATTCGTTTTTTCTTTCTTTTTTTTCTATCTATCTATCTATCTAAGTCTCTTTGTATCTATCGAACTATCAGTCCATTCATTTTTTTCTTTCTTTTTTTTCTATCTATCTAAGTCTCTTTGTATCTATCGAACTATCAGTCCATTCATTTTTTCTTTCTTTTTTTTCTATCTATCTATCTCTATCTATCTAAGTCTCTTTGTATCTATCGAACTATCAGTCCATTCGTTTTTTCTTTCTATCTATCTATCTATCTATCTAGAAACGAACGTTGTGTCTCTCCCCGGTGGGTTTCCATAATCCGTAAACAACTCCGATATAGTGGCCCTGAGCCACACATCCATTTTAACAAATTAAAGTCGTTCCGATTTATTTCGACGTGATAGTGTGCAGTTGTTGGCGCACTAGTCTATGAAGATGTTCCTCGTGACTTCGATCCTAGGTGACGCTGTTGGGCGTTTGAGCTTTATTGCATTGACGATGTCCCTTCAGACAGCTTTTAAAAGTCTGACACAAGGCTACAATTATTGAACTCCCAAATTAACACAGCAATGGATGCACGGGTGAATAATCTACGTAATATGGTTGTCAAGATTTGCGATGTTACAATCACATTGCCTTTTTATAAACATATTATTGTTGCTTACACGTATGTCTAGAAAAGATATCTGGGAGGAAATATAAAACCGCTAAGGATATATAATTGTGATCTCGTTCGACGTAAGGCACATTGCCCGGGGCAACTACAACCTTTTTGAATACCGTTCATAAATAGAGAGACATAAAAATACATATATAGCATTGCGCTTATGACTAAACCCAAGTTAGTTGAGATTTTTACAAGGCTTGAATACAATTTCCTTGGAGAGGTTAACGTTTCTCCGACTAGAAATCATAGTTACGTTTCTTATCCAGTGGAACATCACTTTAAGCAGTCTATTTGCACTGGGGACAGAGCGAGGCTTCCAATTTTTCAGGCCTGAGCCCACGAAGGCGCGATAATTTTACCAACTGAATGTAAGATAGTAAATTCACGGTGAATGACAAGACACATGCCAGGAATATGTAATGAACAGACAGACAGATAGATAGATAGATAGATAGATAGATAGATAGATAGATATGAACAGACTGAGATAGATAGATAGATATGAACAGACTGAGATAGATAGATAGATAGATAGATAGATGAATAGATAGATAGATAGATAGATAGATAGATGAATATGAACAGGCTGATAGATGATATGATAGATAGATGTGAACAGGCTGAGATAGATAGATGAATATGAACAGGCTGAGATAGATAGATAGATATGAACAGGCTGAGATAGATAGATAGATATGAACAGGCTGAGATAGATAGATAGATATGAACAGGCTGAAATAGATAGATAGATATGAACAGGCTGAGATAGATAGATAGATATGAACAGGCTGAGATAGATAGATAGATATGAACAGGCTGAAATAGATAGATAGATAGATAGATAGATAGATAGATAGATAGATAGAAAATAAAGTGTACTATAGATGGATACATAGATAGATATGAACTCAGACAGAAAGATGAATAGATAGATATGAATACGCCGAGTTAGCTAGTTATCTAGCAAACTAATAATAGGATAGATAATTTAGATAGATTATGAAAAGTGATAGATAGATAGATAGACAGACAGATAGAGAGATAATGAAGTGTACCATAGATAAATATGTAGATACTGAGATAGGTAGACATATAGATATGAATAAGTCGAGATGAGCTAATTAACTGGCGACATTGATAGTTAACGAAGATAGATAGATAGATAGATAGATAGATAGATAGATAGATAGATAGATAGATAGATAATGAAAACAGATAGATAAACAGATAAATATGAATAGGTCGTGATAGATAAACAGTGATACAGACAGATAATGAAGTGTACTACAGATAGATATGAACATACTGAGAGACCTAATGGATAGATAGATGATTTAACATGTGGTATAGATAGGTAAAAACATAGATAGATAGATAGATCGATAGATAGATAGATATTGTTTCCATACGTGTGATCATATCTGCAATACTTTGTCTTCAACACTTTATACAAGCACACATACATACAGATACCCAAACACACACACACATATATATAAATGCATGTGTGTGTATGTGTGGCATATAAAGTGCACAGAAGTTTATTTAAAAACCTGGTTTTGAGATTTACATGTGATGGACATGAAAGGTAGTTGAGATGATTGCATTTTACTCGGGGGCGAAAAGAAGTTGTTGCTGAAAGTCAGGTAAATCAAAAGGGACAGGCACAACTGACCGCCCATTTTTCATTGTGCCTGACATGGCAAAAGTTATCTATCTATCTATCTATCTATCCACACACACACACACACATATATATAT